CTTTTTTCCTCTCGTAACACTGTATTTTTAGATTTCGGGTCATCTAGGAAAAATAGTTTAACGACAAAAGATGCACTGATATTATGGCGTGTTAATATCGTGGCGGCAATTTTTTTTCCTTGCTGCCAAGATAAATTTGTTAGGGTAAGGTATACGGGCGAAAATATAAAAGGGCAAAAAGCACGCCGCGCCGGTCGGCCGCAAGCGAGACATGACGATATTTACGGCGTTAACCATCCTAGCCGAGTGGCTCGTATTTGCGGTTTGACGAGTATGGGGAATAACTCCGTTTAACAGCGGGTCACTATGCTTCTATTTGAGAGGAAACATCATCACGGTCTTCCCAGGATTGGCGCAAAACCGGAGCAAATATCGGCCTGTGGTTAATTAACCGCGGAAGTTTAATCAGCAAGAGTGACCCTATAACTCTGGACGCGAAATAAAAGATAGCATGCGATCAATAGCGGGGAATAAATCTATTCCAAAGTTAGAGACTAGCGTGTGGGAAAAGTATGATGCTATTCTCAGCGAAATGCTGTATTTTTTATCCTTTCAAATATAGCTTGTTTCGCTATTTAAGAATCAAATATTGCATCTGCATCACTTACAAAAAGATCATGCAAAGTAAGTAAATAATTAGTTTGCTATTAATTAACGCGGGTCTATTACTAATAAGTGATAAAAATTACTTTCTACTATATCTTTCCGTAAGTAATAAATTCACAATAGTTTCGTTTCATTCCCCCATTTTTTATCTTAATAAATGACGTTTTTGTATCTGTGCTTTGTATAACATGAGCAATAATTTACGAGAATATAAATTTTTTTTTTGTAATTTCTCTTTTCATTAACAGAAAGATTTTTTAATTATCTTCACTGTGTCCTACATTTTGCATCTGTAGAAAATTAATCGTGTCGAGAAAATTGCGCAAAAATTAATTTCACGTAACTGGATACGAAATATGATTGTATACGAGAAGTGAAGAAACTTTTGCAAAGCGTGGCTTCGCGTGACATTCGTTTCTTTGTTATCGATAGCCGCGCGACACGCGTGAACCCAACGCAGTGCGTTAAAAGACCTCCGTTGAAATAGCTGTTGTACAAAATACATTTTCGGAAACAAACGCAAGGACCAAGCATTTTTTGTAAGCCAGCGAATAGGTGAAAGCGCCGCCGTTCACAATAGACGCTTTTATTTCACGTGAAAGGAGAAATCGCGATGGTCTTTCAGTTCAAAGGTGCAAGTCCGACAAAACAAAACATTGGCCGTGGGTTAATTAACCGCGAACGAGCCCGCGTTATAACTTGCGCACGCAAATCACACAATGGGGTAACGCGTGCACCTAAGCCGCTGCCGTGTCTCAGGTCGATGGCAAGGAGAAGAAAATAGACCAAATCGGAGAAATTTGTACATTAGAGACGCGCGAAAAGAAATTGATGTTCCAAGTAGTTCCAAGGAAGAAAAAAAAATTCGAATCAAAATGTTCTGCAAATTAAGGAATTTTCATACGTGTTACGATAATTATCACTATAATTTATTTATTGTAAAAGTAATTTATTTCATTGAAATCTCATTTTTAACGATAGAGACTCTCCGAATAATTTAAAACGGTTTTTTTCAACGAGATGACCTCGTGTCTTGCAATTTATTAAATACACATTTAAATATCCGATGGATATGTATATGAATTTGAACATATATTTTGCCAACTAAATCTTTTGCCTTAAATTAAAAATCTGGAACAGCTAGTTGGCTACTAAAAGCTACTTGGATGTATGTCAACAAAAGTTTTATACTAGCGCACTTTAAAATGCCGTGACATACTTTATATTGTGACTAACAATTAGTGTGTTTTACGTATTGTAACCTACTTTAACGTACTTTGACTACCCTCGCCAATAAAGTACAATATAGGTATACTTTGTTCTCATTAGCAATGAAATTTATCAATACAGTATATTTATTTTGAGAAATTTTTATGAATATATTGTGTGTGTGTGTGTGTGTGTGTGTGTGTGTGTGTGTGTGTGTGTGTACATAATCCATTCAACAATTCTCGTATTTCCCGATTATAATTATGTACATACTAATTTCAATTCGCTCAGATAATAGCTTTTGATAAAGTAAATATTTCCTCGTCGAGAGATTTGCGAGAAACAATGTAGATTAACAATAAGTACTAAATTGCTTTTCCTCCAATTATCAATTGATTCTTATATTTTGAGCTCTATTTATTAAACGTTCTTTATTTCAGACTTTTGTTTATTCGAAGAAAGAGAAAGGACGTAATTAAATAAGAACAGAATTGAACAAAAATAGATTAGCATTTTAGTCGTGCAACTTTTCTATTAGCAGCCACTTAATTTAGATCTTAAATAAACAGTTACTTAATGTAGATTTAATTGATCCAAATACAATTGAATTATATATACGACGCTTTACCTGGTATTTATATTATCCGGAGAACTTTTAACTCGGTTAAAGTCATTATTATAAGTTTCCTTATAAAAAAATGGCATTAAATCATAATACATAAACGTATATAATTTTCCTTCTCACGATTACCATATTATCACAATTAAATATCTCGATGAAGCAATTCGTTAGATTGCGTACATTAAGAACGAGACTGATAAGATCATGATGCTGATTAAAAGTAGTTTCCTCGTATCAATACTAATTACATACTTGTCACCTCTTTGATTATCTTCAATCCCCCCGTAACAGCGAATTAATATCGGCACGTCGTGACGCACGCGATATTGTATAACGCAATTTATAATACGCGGCATATATCTATTATCAACATTAATTATTCCGCGGGGTAGCTACGACGCACGGTGTGAGTAACTACGACAGTAATTAGCTCAGTAATCCACGGCGCATTCTGTGCAGTTCCACGGAACACAACGCTCCGACGCATCGCGCCGGAGCGTTGGGAAGTAATTTTGTATGCAACGGGAGACGCGCGCCGGCCGAGTCCGTGGGAGTCCACAATTTCAATTGGAAATTATAATGGAAATCTACGCCCGGAATTTATTTCGGATCCTCCGCGAGTCGCTAATCCGAGTGAAAGAAATCCGCGTTACAACGACGGTGCACGACGCAAACGATGTTTGCGTCGCGTAAGGAAAAAAAAAAGGGAGATCTCTCTGCTAAACCGCGACCGTCGACTGCCGTTCAACGTCAATTCGAGTCGAGATTCGAAATGCGAACGTCAGAAGAAAATGCAATTTCTCTTTTTCATCCTTTGAATCTTTAATATGTTCAACGTAACGATCGTAAACCGATGTTACAATACGTTGCCCTGATATATGCATAAAGCGCAACTGCAGTTCGTATGCAGGGTGTTACTTAAGTCTTGTCCGATATTTTAGGTTCTTTGGGATCGTTTTACGAAGAAATGTTTATATGAACATGTAGTTTCAAAGTTCTTGTTTCAAAGATACAGGGTGTTAAAAATTCTACAATTATCGTTTTTTCTTAATAGCTCCTAAATGAAAAAAGTTTTCTCTTTCTCGGACCACAGTAAATATATCCAGGGTATTAATTTTTAATTTTTACTTACAAAACATTTATCTAAATTTTGTCTAAATTACTTTTAAATTTAGAATTAACATAGAATGGTTAATTTAATTTAAAGGTATACGTACTTGTACCAAATTCGACGTCAATATTGTGAAAAAAGTTGAACATAACAAATTTCTTTTTATCTGTTTTTCATTTAAGAGCTATTAAGGAAATGATAACTTTAGGGCCCGATTTTTAATATTTTATGTCTCTGAAACGAAGTCTTTGAGATTATATATTTACATGAACTTTTCGTCATAACCTGAAAAAACAACTTTTGAAATATATATTGGACATTACTTAAAAACAACTCTGTTATAAAGTATTGCGAATATAAAGTGAATCGGAAAATAAAGTCTCGCTGTATTAATAAAAATTCACCTTTTTACATCATACAAGTTTCTCAGAAGCTAAACTGCTTCCACGAAATATAAAGAAAAAAATCAAAGAAGCTATCAACTAGTATATTGTACGCTCTGGTATACTAACAAGAGTAAGATTAAAAAATGTATAAAAACCGGAATCGATCGATTTGGCTTCTGAGAGGCTATATAACACTGCATGCCCGATAAAATCTTTAGTTCGACTACTGTTGAATCGATTGAAAATCTGTGTTAGGCGCGCTAAAATGTGTTGCTATTTAAAAAGTATCGAGTATTGAAATTCCAAATATTGAAGCAATAAGACGCGTGTACCATGTAGCACGGTACAGGTACTCGCATTGATCCGTCTGTCTTGACTTTCGCTTGCCCAACACACATACACACACACACACACACACAGCTCACACACGCACACGCATATACACGCGCGTAGCGTGGTACGTTCAATATGAATAATGGATTCAAATCAAACCAGCCGTTTAGCGTGAAAGCGTGTGCCGCGGATTCGCGTCTGTTTGCATATGCGGATTTAATCTGCGTAATTTGTGTAAGTCGCCTTCCGATCGCTCGCTCGTGTGCGCGGCTGAGAGCGCGCGCGTGACGGAAGACGCAATTATTAAATAACAGGCACAAAATGGCAGCAGGAGAGAGCGAAAGAGAGAAAGGCGTAGGCTGGAAGAGAATGAAAGAGAAAGATAGGGAAGAGAGAGAGAGAGAGAGAGAGAGAGAGAGAGAGAGAGAGAGAGAGAGAGAGAGAGAGAGAGAGAGAGAGAGAGCAATCGCTTTATCACCGTGCACCGATTGTACTCTCTCGGCTTTAACATGTTGCAGCGGCAACAACGAACACGGTGCGCCACGGCGGAAATAACGCTCGACTTAACTTACAAGAGACACGCCACCGTTTCCAACGGGGGCGTCCCGTCGTCGCGCGGTCCCCTCGTCGATGTGTACTCGATTACCTCGATAACGGGGGCACCTCGACGAATAACGATCGATTTTGGCGACCGATTTACTAACAGATCCACCTGTCTCTCTTGCCGTTGCAGGTGACAAGATGGCAGCGATACAGCGTCGCAAGACGTCGGCAGCGAAGAGGAATCTGGCGGGCGTGCTGGTACCGGCGGTGCTCGTCATAGCGGGCGTCGTTTTAGCGCGATAAGCGTTTTACTTCGAAATGTCCATAACTATTACGTCATTACTTCCGTTTGTGATAGATAGGATATTACCCTCTTCCCCTCCTCCCTCTCCTTCCTTCTCCCGGGGTTTTACGGTCCGCCCGCCCGCTCCCTCCCTTCTTTTTCATCTCCCCCACTCACTTTCCCCCCCTTCCTCACACCCTCTCCCATCCATCCCTCGCGGGTCTTCTTTCCTCCCCAAACCACGCTCCCGTCTTCCGTTCCATCTTCCAACTTCCCTTTCCCATGCACCCTTCGCTCCCTCCCTTATTCCTTATTTACTTTAGTCGAGGTTGCCGCCGGCTGGACTACTTAGATATGCGAGATTTTCGTGGAAGATTGCGCGATTGCCTGCTCCAAGTCATTACGCGCGACGCGCATGCGACTCGAATTATGTAAATACTGCCCGGGTCGAATACGCCACGACGAGGCGGATTACGTTAGGCCAGGCCTGTCCAACTTCCGGGCACCACTGATCGTCCGTTCTCGACAGGCCAGATTTCAGGCCGGTCGGATGGAAAATTCACGCGGTCAGTGCAAACGAATCGATCGCGTTGCTAACAAGGTTGGGCTATATATCTCGGAATTCGAAATAATTGATGAGGTGAGTTCAAAAAGCACAGACATCTAATACGTACATATGTGATACAAGTCTGCTATATATATATATACCTATATATATATATATATATACATATAGTTAGTATGAAAAGATATATATATACCTATATATATATATATATATATATTGTTTTCATACTAACAACACTGCGTTTCTTTTAAAAACGTTTTACACTATTCATATTTACAAATGACTGAGTTGTTATCCCGACGATATTTATTCTTGGTCTTATTTTACTTTGAAATGACCGATTAAAAAAAATGACCAAGTAACATGTATAAACCGGGAATTTGATAGATTTTGGGAATGTGTCGCTCGAGTGATTTTAAATAGAAATCGCTATCTGATACAAGTCGGTGTCTGCAGAACAATTGCAATGATAAAATGATAATTATTTGCATTATCCATGAAAACGAGTGATTAATTGGATTCTTTCTTAATTTTGAAAAAAAGATCATTTGACTCTTCGAATAAATCGCACACAATCGCGATATTCAGATTCGCAATTGTGCAATAATATAAACGATGCAATTTTAATTATAAGATAGTGTAAAATAAAAGCATAAAACTGGTCGATATGTAATTAATTTTGCAACTGAATTGATGATTCTTAAATAGATACATTCAATATAACGTATTTGATATAAAAATAATACATTTATTTAACAATAGTAGCGACAGCATTGTGATTGAATTCATCTTTGCGATTGATCTTTGCTACAAATTAATTCAAAAATACATGTTAAAATCGAATTAACTTTGCATCGACTGTCTTTACTTGCATTGACTTGATCTTTACAACTTCTCGAGTTGCAATACAAAAAAAAGTATTTGCTTGAAAGACTCTTTAAGACCATAATAAGTTCGCAAGTATTGCAAATCAATACGAATACCCGATACAACCCCTTTCCACTTAAATCTGCTTGAATAACACGTTCCTGAAGTCTGGAAAATTTCTTTCGGGATACACAAAGCAAAGAAGAATAATAAAAAGGGCGTATACACGTGGAAATACCAGTCAAAACACGAAAATTCACGATGACGCTTGAACGCGAATGCGAAGCGTGCGTCTCTGCTCACGCCACAATCTTCACGTTTTTCGTTTCTGTAAAAATTGTTATGAAAAATTGTTCGCCTTTACAAGCGAGAGAGAGAGAGAGAGAGAGAGAGAGAGAGAGAGAGAGAGGGAGGGAGAGTGAGCATGCGGGTCTACAGGTCTCGCAAAAGTCGTCCCGCTCTCTGCGACGTCGTGACGGCGTTGCGAGATGGAGATCGCACCGTCGCGTCGCACGAAAACGCGTTTATTGCACGACACGACGTCGCAAGAGTTTATTGCACGCGGAACAAACGTGAACAATGCGCCGGCTACGTATATACGCGGCTACAATTCCCAAATGATGAATGAAGCGTTGCCCTTCCGCGGTCATTAAAAATCATCATTAAGGCATCTCGCGCGGCCACGTTATTATATTGTAGATAAGAGAATCAGGATAGGCGTGTTGGGAATCCGGGTGCTCTTAAAGCAAGAATTCACTGTTCACTGTTCACTGTAATTCACTGTTTATTGCATGGGAGTATTCAAAGGAGCGGATTTGGGGAGTTCATATCCTCTCGAAATTTTTATTTACATTTTCAGTTTTACAAACCCAAATATTTTTTAATAAAATTTATGATATGATATTTGATGATATTTATGTAAAGTATTGAATGAAGCAATTCATTAGTGAAAAAAATTGCTATTTATATGTATTAAGTTAACAGGATTGATAAAACCCTCCCCCCGCCCCCGAAAAAATTCTGAATACACCCATGCAATATATTGCAAAATAAACACAATACAAAAATGGAGTTCGCGCTCTAGTTATTATGGAGAATGACACCGGCTCCCGGCGCGAGAAACCGATCGGTAGGTATGTTCACGCGGCTAAAAGCGAACGATCCGGCGATCGCGATGCTCTGACGACTAAATCCTAACTCCGAAATATCTCCACTCATTCGCGAATAGCTACGATTATTCCGATTTTTCCGATATTCAGAAGAATTCCGAAAAATCTCTTTCGCGTGCTCCGGAATTCGCAATATATATCACGTATAGTATGTTGCACTGATATCGAACGTGGTCCTCTAGATCGGACTGCGCGCGCCGCTCTATTTCCGTATTCGCGCCGTCAGTTTGGCTTTATCGGTATAATTTTCTTAAAATATATTATACTACTGGATGATTCGTTTATCCGTCGTGACATTCGAGGAGACGTCGGGAAAAAGATTACAAAGGGTTCGTCCGCGTTGTAACTTTTATTGCAGAATTTATTATTCTTCAATTGAAACTGTATAGCTTCATGGATATTTTGAATCTATCTGATATTGATGTAAATATAATTTCTTGATTTTATAATATAGCAAAATCATTTTATAATATATAATAATTGATTGTTTTATGATATATAATTGATAATGAAGATCATTGTGTTCATTATAAAATATTATTATTATTGTAAAGTGATCTCGCTACACAAAGAAGAAATCATTTACCTTTATATGAGGATTAAAGGAACTATATTGGTATCGAGAGAGCGTCACTACGTCTGAATGTTATATAAAAATAATAAATTCTGCAATAAGTTACAATGCGAAAGAACACTTTGCAATCTATTTTCTGACATCTCCTCGAATGACGAATAGATGATTCCATTTAGTAGCATAACATATAATAACGCGGCCACGAGACATTTTAATGATGGTTTTATATAGACGTATATGTGATAATTGCAAAGTATCTTATTCTTCTGAAACTCGCGCATGAATGTTTGCACATAAGATGAGTTGAAACAACCAGCATCGGTTGAATGTTGAATAACCGACATTGTGATGTATGTTGCAACGATCGAGTTACGTGTATAGCTCTGATTTTAAAATTGCAGGCGAGCGTTACGTCGTCCCTCTTGTCATGGCGCACAATTTCTCTCGGTGCTCGCTCTTTTATTCTTTGACTTATTCGTTATTAAAGTTCTGACCTACATGAAAATAATTGACACTGATATACACGAATATATTATTATAATCAAGATAGTATCTTATAGAAGACATCATCACAACGGAATTAAATTCCTGCGAATAATGATCAAACTAACTGATTTGTTATTCTATAAAACGATCTCGATTTCATGATTTGACGATTCGAAATTAGCCCGTGTATCGTCCCTGTTCGCATTGTTCTCCACCATAGAAAGCATTAGAGAGGAAGTATCGCAGTTTTGTACGTATACGCAAGATCTTTCAGGCGAACGAATTCATTAAAATGCAGTGCATCGTTGAGGTACTCTTACCGAACCCGGTTTCAATGCGGTATCGCATTAATTGGACATAAAAAAAAAACAGCGCCCACCAGTTGGACAGGCCTAATACGTGGGCTCACCGAACGACGGCGGCGGAAACGTGTCGTACGAGGCCCCAACCGCTCCTCTCCCCTTCCCTCCGGCGTTACTCTTGTGGGGCCCACGAAACCACCACGTAGCATCGTTTTCTCTCGCCCGAAACACTGTACACATCCGATACGCGTAGCGATTAAGGCGATTCAACGGTTCTTTCTGTATATCCTAATTTAAGGTGAGACACGCGCGCGCGGAGATACCAAAAGAAAAGAAAAAAAAAAAGAAAAAAGAAAACGTAGGAAAAGTAGGATAAACGGTATTTTGTCGGGAATCGAATCCTTGCTCCATCTTCGTTTGTATACTTATGCGTTATTCAGACGACACGTCTCGGGAAATATTTCCTGAAAAACGTCTCGCGCTTCTTCCACGCGCGGGAAGACGGATACGTCAAGGGGAGCTCGCAGGTGGGAATTCAGGAACATATGCGCGACGTTTGTGCCGTTTAATCCTTGAGGGATACAGTATACGTGAGATTCACGTATAGCCGCGATGAAATCTTGGCGGCGTGTCGGAGAAACTAAACGAGTAAAAAAAAATAATATGAAGGGTATAACGGAGATGACTGGGAGCGCGTGGAGAGCGCGAGCCCAAAGAATCTTCTCTTTGAGATTCTTCTTTTAGACGCGAAATCACGTCTAATGGAAATCTTACGGATTTGATAACTCGAGACTCACTTCACCGCTGGAAGTCACGTACGTCGCATCGCCGATATTATGTCTTCGAGAGCGCGGGTCTGTATGCGACGCGATCTGTATCACGATATAGCGATTTATTGTAGTAAAATACACGATATGCGATAAAAAAAAAAGGAGAAAAGAATCCTGCAGCTGTACTTCCAGTCTCCGAAACACGGACGGCGTTTCGTGTTCTGCTGCCGCCGGCATCGACAGAAACGTTTATAACGGATCAATCGCAAATGTGTACCACGTTTTCAATCGCAAATCTGTAACCTGTCTAAGATTTAATCGATGTTTCGGCACGAGTATCTGACACTAATTCCGGAACGCGGAAAGTTAGGAAAGGTACGTATCTCTCATTTGTAGAACTTTATATATAGTCTATCTTTGTTCATAGGATATTTATAGAAATATAAATAGTTGACTCGGACGAAAATAATAAAACTTTCAATTATCGTTATTCGTGAAACCTCTAATCAGATTTGATTGTCGTTATTTGGTACTTTGTTCAATAAACTCGTCGCTCTTCCTTGGCGCTGTCTAAATCCTTCACCACGGAGAGAGAAAGCGGTTAATAGTTTTACGAGGCAATTGATCATACTCTAATGGGTCGTATATAGTTCCCACGATAGAAACAATAGCGTAATATTTCACGAGCTCGCGTTCAACAATTCGTTCTGAATTTATCTGCGTTTAATAATAATAACCGCGCAAATAAATATAACGGGCGCATACCGCAGTAATTCTAGCACGGGCCACGCTTGTACCTCGGCGTAACCGTAAAACACATATTACACAGATTCGCATGCATGAAAGTCCGTATGAACCGTACGTAGAATTCGTGGAATTCCTACCTACATCCCGCAAATCTAAAATTTTAATGAAGTTACCCCGGGTATA